AATGAAATATTTAAAACTTGAAATCACCCACTTTTAATTGAGGTTATAGAGAAAGAAAAACTTATCTAAAATGCAATTTGACAATAATGTATACCAAATTTTAAAATGTATATATCTTCTGTGTCAGCAACTTATCTGACAGATGTTTTCTCACTAGCGCACAATATTCCAATCTTGAGTTTTCAAGAGACTATGCCTTTTGGTGCATTTATACAATAATGGATAATGGAGCTGTTATCAAAACTGACGTAGATCTACACGTGAGTCACATTTATTGACATCCAGAACATTATCAAGCAAAAATAAAGAAAAGTGTGATACAATATTTGTAGAGTAATATTGTTTATATTAAAAATTAAAATTATACACATAGTGACACACATGCACATATATACTTTCATGTGCATATAAAATTTACCAGATAGGAATATCTGATTTTGTTTACAAGGTTTATTTCCAGAGAATAGAAATGATGAATGAGGGGTCCTAGGTGGAAAATCTTTTATACTCTATACACTTCTTTTGAATTATAAGCCTTGCATTTCATCATTTAAAGTTATTTTTACTAAAGTCACATGAGATTATATTTGAAAAATTACTGTAGAATTTTGAAGTTACATTTAACAATAGAAAAGCCAGGACTATTTTCTACAGTAATTAAGGCAAATTTGGTGATAACGCCTTCTCATAAAACACATCTACAAATTTGAAGGATACAGCTCCAAAACTAGACCGTAGGCCTTACATGTTTATGGGCAAAGAATGACCTAAGTAAGTATTCGGGGGCTTCTTAAACAGTCTGGTTGTAGAGAAGCAGTTTATATTTGCTCTTTAGCTGAATACATAGAGTTTATTAATCATAACAATTAGCATTTTTATTTGCTTGCAACTTTTTTGCCATTCGTTGCCATGGCAACAAATCATGTATTGATTCAATAAGGCATCTTGCATTTCTTAGAATACTGTAATTAGATAACCAATTTGTAATTAAGTCAAAATGAAAGCTGACCTTTCTCCTTATGATGATATAACACTAACCATATCAAGAACAGAAGATTTATGCTTCGAATGAGCTTAAATAAAGTTTAAGAAAGTGGAACTCTGTTTCCTCTTAAAAACTATCATCTTTTCTCCTTATCAGTAATACAGGTATAACAAAGTATCCAACATATTGAAACACAGAAATTTCAATTGTGTATTCACATGACATTCCAATGTAACACACTGCTCTGTAGAGTAGATACTTGGTGCAATCCATCAACTATTAAAATTCTGTCAGTGTAATGGTGAGATTTCAGCATGCAGTACAGACGTCTGTGCTGACAAGCAGAAACAAATAACCAAGTACACATTGACAAACTCAGCATTTTTACTTTTTCTCAGCAAAAAGGGAGTTCCTAATTTAGTCTAACAGTGCTGTCTTCTCAGAGTCTATTCAGGTAAACAACAACAAAAGGCAAACAGAAATACTTTTGCTTCTCAGCATGGGGTTTGACAGCTTGCTAGGAGATCCAATAAGTTCCCAGGGTCCAATAAAAGAAATCTCTTCTTTCAAAAACAGCAGAATTATAACCCGTGCAAGAAGACGTCTATCTTTTCTTACCAGAGTACTTTTTTTTACTAAATCTGCAAGTGTGCTATTTAGAAAATTAAATCTCCAAAGAAAACAAATATCAGTGGTAAACTGTAGACACTATATGCTTATGTTTTCCATTCTTTCGTGCCTTTACTCTTCCCTTTCCTTCTCTGTGCCACTTCATTTCTCTCTTACCAATTGTTACTACATCAGTTTACCCATTCATCCTCCCTAGCAAAGAGCTCAAGGAGGTTGTGCTCTACTTCAGAACTTCACGGAAGCACTGTTTTCTCTCCAGATACAAACCAGATTGAGACATCAGAGCCCTTCAAGTCAAGCCTGAGAGAGAACCTGAAGGGCTTCTAGCCTAGGTGATATATCAAGCTCCAACTCAGGAGTCAGTGTACATGCTTGGTGATGGGGGAGGTATATTTCTGTACAATGAAAGCTCCTGGATGAAATTACCATAAAATGAGGAAAGAGAAAATGTGGTAGAGAAAAAAGTTGCAAGCAAATTGGAATTATGGGCAATGTATTCGAGATATAGATTTTGACACTTTGAATCTATTTGTAAAGTGGTCTCCAGTTACTGAATAAAGAGATTCTCAATAGCAATTTTTTTTAAGTATTAGGTGTTGAATGTTTAGAAATTTAATGAAATAAGTACCAATCTAAGCAATCTGTCTTGTTTATAACCAGAGTCTCTCTCCACCCAACTCATTAGCGAAGTAAGGTAATGAGCACTATGGATGTGGAAGAAATAGATGATTCTCAACAAAGTTGCTTATTTTCAACTTTGTTCTTCTAACAACACTCATTAGATAAAACTGGGATAATTTAAAGCATAATAAGAAGTCTACTAATATAAGCAAATAATAATAATTTATTGAGTGTTTGCCATCTTCCAGAAACTATTTTAAGAGTTTTAATGCATTATTTCATTTAATGAACAAAACATAATTATTTATGTATTATTATGTCCATGTTACAGATGAGAAAACTGTGGCCCAGAAAGTTGAAGTAAATCATTCAATACCCCATTGCTAAGAAGCGTTTCCTGTCCTAATGAGCTCAACCAAGAATCCATGCTCTTAATCATCAAGTTCCTCATTAATTCTTCTAGTTTCAGGTTTTCTGTAGTCTTAGATTTGTAGTATTAGATGGCTTAAATATTTTTATATTTTAGTTTCATATACATTTTAGTATCATAGAGTAATTTACCCTCATTTTGATGATAAAATTAAAGGCAGTGGGGTAAAGTTACTTCTGTGATATGGACAAACAGCAAGATTATTACAGGGCAAAGACTGAGGGTACAAACTCTGCATTTTCATGAGACTGTTTAACCGTTTACTCCAAAGTGGTGGGTGGCCCAGCCACTTCTTTTTTTCCAGGAATCCACCCCAGCCATAAACATTACATTTAAACTTAGTGGCCTAAGCTCAAGCATAATGCATAATCTAGTCATGGGAAGTGATAGTGGTATCAGTTCTGAGTAGTAGTCACAGCAAGGAAAATCTAAAGGGCCAAATTAAAGTATACACACATGTGCACACACACACACTAATAATATACACACAGAAATAATACATGCAAACACGAGGCTGAAGCTCTACTGGGTAGAAAAGAAGGAGTGTGAAAACCTTTGTTAAGGCCCCGAGTGACAGCTGAAATAGTCCCACACAACCTTCTTCCCTGCCCCTAACGGATCTGGAAGTACTGAAGAATCTTACATAGTTTGACATCTGGTAAAATATTCAGATTTTGCCAGATGTGCACTCCTTTCAGCCACAAAGAGGTGATGTTAAAACTCAATATGAAGACTAAGTTAGCATTAGTGTTTTACGGATGAACACATTTTTTAAAAGGTGGTTTGCTTCCTTCCAGAAAGTCTCCTCTTGAGAATCTGACAGGACTTCTTTCCTTTTCCTCTGTTGGATCGGTCTTCGCTATGCTGCGTGTTGGTTTGGCAGCACATACTTATTTTACCTTATGACTTGGACAGAAAAGTGTAGCCTGGATGTGTTGCATATTGGTATGATTTATAGACCACAGACCAGATAAAAAGCCCCCAAGGTATGTAAATAATAGTAAATAAGGGGATTTACAAAATATGAACCAAAGTTCTGCTGTGTTAACTACATATATTTTATTCTTTAAATAAAAAACAAACTATCAAAATGTTTGGAGCAACATGGAAGCTTCCTTATTTAAAAAATAAAATGAATACAGCTCGAATGTGAAAACCAGATTCTCTAATTCTTTGAGTCCAGGAAAAGGATGCCTGTGTATTTAGCTCCCTGGTCTTTAATATATACTACCTTATTTACATATATCTTCTAAAGGGGCTAAAATTTAGCACTGCCTCTTTCTTGTATAATGAACACATTCCATAATAATGAGGACAATGATAACAGGAGTGCATAGCATGCTATACTTTTTACATTGTCTTTACATATGTTCTCTGACTCGATCCTCACAAAAGCACTACTAAGTATCTAATGTCAGAAAAGGAAACAAATGCACAGGTGTGAGCATACCCAGAAGAGTCACCAGAGACCTTGTCACACAACTTCTGGTCTAAGGCTCTTTCCCCTGCCTCACACTCTCATGAGTGTGTTGCTATTGAAATCTCTATCTTGCACTTCTATAGAGCTAGAAAACCCAGAAGACCTAGACAAAGATAAATGCAATCATTAGCCTTCAGTCTAGATTCTAATGTAATATGTCATACTTTTCACTTGGAATTGATGTAATATTGTGCCACAAAATGGGAAATCTAGCAAGTAGAAAATAGTGTTTGAATATTTTTCAGGGAGAAAGTTTTTACTAAAGAAAAAGAGAACTGCTATAGTTATTAACATAAAATATTTACACACTTTGCCATCTATCTATACAACTTCATCTATCAGCAGACAACTACCTTCATATTTGAAACATATTGTATCAAGTCAAAACTTGGCTATGATACTCCAGATTGTCCCTAAAGCATATCAGACTGTCGCCAAAGAAAGAGAAGCGTATCAGAAAGAGAAGGGAAACAAAAAGAGTTTCCACGTAGAATACATTTAATTGTCCTGAGTTCTGAGTTCCTGCATAAAGCAGAAATTTCTCATGCATAAGAAATGGTAGACTCAGCTTGAGTGGTTGATTGCTATTTCTTACAATAAGGTTTCCACACACTCACTCTCACTCTCTTGCTTTTTCACCCTTTCTTTTTATCTAATTCTATGTTATGTCTGTCTCTGGCTACCTATTGTACATGCTTTTGTAGAATTTCAGGAACAGCTTTTTATCTGGAGAATATGGCTGCCTGAACGAGTTACATAATATAACAAAAGCTTTACCCCAAAGCTTCTATGCATTCCAAAAGCTTGTACTTGGATAATAGAAATATTAGCCTCAGGTGACTGAGAACACTTACTGTTGGTTGCATAACGTATGGCGGATGAGGCATCCATGAAGTACTCTGGACCTATGCATCAAACAGCATTTATTAGCACAAAGTAATCATAGAGAGAATGTGGTTCTTGTGTTCAGTGGAGTCACACTAGGTCATAAGAAAGTGGAGTCCATCTGACTTTACAGTTAATTCGTCCTCCAAACCAAGGGCAAGAAGGGAATTCTTGGACTTCATTAAATTGGTCCCTGAGACATGGTAAAGGGTAAAGCAACTTCCCATCTCAGTGGAGCTAACTTCAGTGCCCACATGGACCGGGCTGGGTCTTGGAGCATATTCTGAGGTTGATATTGAAGGCTAAAAGTTTCAGAGACCATGTGAAGATCAACTCTCAGGAATCTCCTGACAAGTAATGAAGGAAGCAAGAGCTGACCGCTAAGACTCTCCTTTTTTCTGTCATCACGTGTAACACCAAATGCTCAAGTGATTCCATTTTAGAAATATGTCCAAGTGGTAAAAGTTGTTGTGAGAGCTAGAGATAAACCAAAAAATTTGGGGGAGTTATTTAGGTTTAACCCAAGTTAAGCAAGTTTGTAATTGTTTTCTCTCATGGTAATTGGTATAACAAATAAAAATGAGCGTATCAGCCAACCAACTATTCTTAAATGTACCATGTGTCAGCCAAATGAAAAGAGCCTATATAAGCTGAATGTCACATGGAGAACTCAGATGGCTTTTTATATACTCACACAAACAGAATTGCCAATACACTTTGGATTGAAAAAAAAAAACTGGTGAAAGGTGAGAATCAACAACATAGAGCATTGCTGTAAACACTTCTTTTGAGAAAAGGGAGATAGAGTTAAATTCCACTTATGAGCCCTCCCAAGTAAAATCATTCTTCTGTGAATATTTTATTCATGTCACCAAAGTGTTCTACCCTGTGGCTTAATGGGTGGTCTTGGCTGGAATAGAGGCCAAGATTAGGGAAAAAAAAAAAAAGGAAATACACACACACACACACACACACACACACACACACACACTCTACAACCAGGCAGGCCTGCAGGAAGAACAAAAACTGAACAGCACCTGCACATAGCCTCATGGGTCCCAAGGAAAGGCAATTAAGAAATCAGCCATTCAGAGACCGTTTAATGCAATTCAAATGAAAATCTATTCCATTTGCCCACGGACATGTCTCAAGAATCTGAGTTCAGAAAAAGAACGAAAATGATCTGCTTCAGGGGAATCAGTTAAGGAAAAGTGCACATAGTCTTAAGTTTGATTCTCTGACAGCTGGGATATCCTGAAATGAAGTATATAGTGACTGAACAAGGTGAAACTTCACTGAATTAGTAGCAGTCAGCAACATTAGAGTTTTACCCATTATGTAACATCCACCTCCACCATCTGCAAAATTCAAGCACATGCATACACACACTTACATTCTCTTTTTCTCTCTAAACTTTTAAGAAATGACACTAGACACTTTCTACATGCAGCATATATATATATAGGTGTTTTCTAATTAGAATTGGAAAGAACTGTTGAAGAACAGTATTAGGTAGAGAAGAGATTAACATCACATACGTAATAACTCAGAGGAATAAAATAAGGAGTATTGTTTGAGGGAGAAATGTGGCTATTTTAATCCACTTATGTACTTGGAATTAACTGGCTATAATATCTAGTTGGGGACACACAGTCAGTCTCAGACTTTCCAGCATTTCAACATGTGGAACCCCTGAGGTCTCTTTTGGGAACTGAGAATGAAATAAGGGCAGGGACGAGAAACAACGTTTTACCACTTTGATAATTTCTTCTGTTTCTTGGGAAGTATGATTTAACATCTATCTGTGTAGCTTTACCAGGACCACCATGACAAAATGAGATGACAATGATAAAATATCCTGGAGTGAGTGAAGGAATTGCTAGAAATATGCTTTTAGAAAAGACACAATAGGGAATATGAGCATCCAAAATAAGAAACAACAAACAAAATAATTTCCCAGTGGTGAAAGAGCTGTATTAAGGTTTGTTTGAAAGTAGCATAATCAGAAAAACTCAGCAGGAAGAATGAAAAGCATAGTGGATTTTATTATCCAGTGAACTGATGCAAACAGGCTCTTGAAAGTACAGGCTAACTCTTAACTTGAGTATTACTGCATTAAGATGTGATTCAAGTGTATGAGAAATTTTTTCCTTTTCATTCTACTGTGTCCTTTTTGGCTCTAAATAGTGTCTTACTGAAAGAAAGGTATCTCCTAAAGTGCAGGTAAATCGGACATACCTGGTATGTGGAGACAGGGGAAGCAGCAATGAATGGTGTGATAGATGTCTGTGGAATCATGCGGTTGGTTGCAATACTGTACGGTGAAGAATAAAATCTGCAAACAGAAAACAAAAAAAAGAAGATTCATGAAGCTGCTACATGCCTGGCCTCCAAACAAATGCTACCAAGCACCTCCGGGAAAGACAAATTTCCACCCGCATGTTTTTCCACCAACTGTTAACAGAAACATCCAGGAAATGTACATTATTGATTCTACCAAGAGAGATAAGTAGCTCTGAATGAAATGACTTTGAGTCGTCTTATGAAATTAGCTGCACAAAATCTCCCTTATGCCAGGTAAATTTAATACTATCTCCAACCAAGAGGAGGAGACAAGCCATGAGTGTTGTTCAAAAGGCTTTGAAAGAAAGACAAAATGAAAGCACCACGTTTTGTAAAGGTGACTGATGTTACAAACACAAGAACTGCATCTATCTCTTCAGTCAGGAAATAAATATCAGTGCCTAGAGAGTTCTTGATATTTTATGTTAGGCATAGATCCATGCCCTCATGCAGAAAACACTTCGTCCATGAAAAGAGAAGCAAGAGGACAATTTGTATCTAGGATGGAATAGGAATGTTTTCTGGATTAAGTCAAGGCACTGGTAGAGACACTGAACCTATATGACATGCTCCTATGAACTCTGCAAGAAGCACTGAATTTTCTAGTCCTCCTGAGCCCTTCATTGAACAGTTGTAGAATGCTACTAGACAAGATCAGGAATTCACAAATCAAAGGAGGGATGATGATTCTAGAGATCTATTAAAGGGTAGCTCCTGGATGTGAAAAGAAGTGAAGGCTCCATTTCTGCCCAGGCTATACTGTACAGTCCATGAGTTGCTAAATGCTCAAATTCTTCAGCAGAATTCTAAATTATGTTTCCCCCGTGTCTTACTGGTAAGTGAAAGTGTAGAGTGGCCAGCCACAGAATAGATGAAGCCAGGTTGCCTGAGATGGAATATGTCAGTGATGTGAGGAGAGATTGGAAAAATGCATGTGAGAAATAACGGTACAATTCTTTCACTTTATTGTACTTTTGCAAAACTCAATTACTATTATATATTTTTTAATAGTATGACTGACCTTGGAATCTGGGGGACAAAGACTTTGTCTCACCTCAGGGGTTACTGATATATATATATATATATATATATATATATATATATATATATATATATATTTTTTTTTTTTTAAATTGAGATGGAGTTTCGCTCTTGTTACCCAGGCTGGAGTGCAATGGAGTGATCTCGGCTCACCGCAACCTCCGCCTCCTGGCTCAGGCAATTCTCCTGCCTCAGCCTCCTGAGTAGCTGGAATTACAGGCACACGCCACCATGCCCAGCTAATTTTTGTGTGTGTATTTTTAGTAGAGACGGGGTTTCACCATGTTGACCAGGATGGTCTCAATCTCTTCACCTCGTGATCCACCTGCCTCGGCCTCCCAAAGTGCTGGGATTACAGGCGTGAGCCACTGCGCCCGGCCGGTTACTGATATTTTAAGTAGAGACTTCCATGAGTTATCTTTCTAAGAAAGCATCCCATGAGACTCCCATTAAATAAGGAAGGACTAGAATTCAGGGTTGTCAGAATTCAAGGAGTAAATTCTTCAAGCTTAATTCCTATAAAAGTCTTCAAGGCAGTGGCTCTACTAAAAATACAAAAAATTAGCTGGGCATGGTGGCACGTGCCTGCAGTCCCAGCTACTCAGGAGGCTGAGGCAGGAGAATTGCCTGAACCCAGGAGGTGGAGGTTGCGGTAAGCCGAGATCGCGCCATTGCACTCCAGCCTGGGTAACAAGAGCGAAACTCCGTCTCAAAAAAAAAAAGTCTTCAAGAAAAGATATGGCCTTAAATGTACTTAAGTTATAGTCTTTAATGTCCTTTAACTCTTAACAATGATTAGATAAGATCATACTCTTTTGGGTTAAAAAAATACTGAAGATGAAAAAGTTATCCCATCGTACATTACATTCCTACTATCCACACTCCCCAGACCCTTAAATTTACAGTTGTGATGTTTAAAAAGAAGTCACTCACTATACGCCTGATAAAATGACAAAAAGAGAAAATGCAAAGTTTTTTTTTTTGAATGGCAATACTAACAGCTGAGAAGGATGCAGAGAAAGTGGAATTCTCCTTCAATGTTTGTGGAAAAGCAAAACATTACACCCATTTTTGAAAACAGCTTGGCAGTCTCTTTTAAAGTTAAACATATGCATTCCCTATGGCCCAGTAATCCCACCTTTCTGTACTAACCAAAGATAAAGAAAGATGTTTGTTTATGGAAAAGTTTTAATCCAAATGTTTATAGAGGCTTTGTTCATGCTTGACGCAATCTGGAAACAACCCAAATGTCCTTCCCCTGAATTAACAATCAAACTGTGGCACAACCATACAATGGAATACTACTTAGCAATAAAAGGAAAACAAGTACTGAAACATTCAACATGATCAATCTCAAATAAATTTTGATAAATGGAAGAAGTCAAACTCACAAGGGCATATACTATATAATTTTTTATATCTCACTAGGGATAAGGCAAAACTATAGAGGGGTAGAGGAAGGGGCTGATTCCAAATGAGCATGAGAAAATTTGAGAAGGGGAGATATCTGTTCTATACCTTGATTGTGGTGGTGGTTACATGATTGTGTGTGTTTATGAGAATCACAGAACTATATACTAAAAAGAGTGAATATACTTTATGTAAATTATATCTTCCCTAATAAACCTGATTTTTTAAAAAAGATTATTTTATGTAAGCTAAATTCATCTTTCCACTTTAAAAAATTATTGAACATTTACTATGTGTAACAAAGATGGGTAAGTATCTAAAATACCCCTTTGAGTTTCCCTATTTAGTCACTTAAATTGTACTGTATTTGTGTATTAATCAGCCTAAAACTCTCCTAAGGCTTTTCATTGCAGTGAGAAAAAAACGTTCACTCCTTGTACTGGCTAGCACAATCAGGCTATTGCCTACTTCTCTGATAATGTTTTTTTTTTGAGACGGAGTTTCGCTCTTGTTACCCAGGCTGGAGTGCAATGGCGCGATGTCCGCTCACCGCAACCTCCACCTCCTGGGTTCAGGCAATTCTCCTGCCTCAGCCTCCTGAGCAGCTGGGATTACAGGCACGCACCACCATGCCCAGCTAATTTTTTTTGTATTTTTAGTAAAGACGGGGTTTCACCATGTTTACCAGGCTGGTCTCGATCTGTTGACCTCGTGATCCACCCGCCTCAGTCTCCCAAAGTGCTGGGATTACAGGCGTGAGCCACTGTGCCCGGCCCTGATATTGTTTTCTTAACCCTTTCTCCATAGCTGGCTAGGATTCAACCAAACTGACTTTCTTCTGTCCTGTGATATCATTCTCACTCTTATCTCTACACTGAACTTGAAATTCTCTCTACCTAAAATGCTCGCTCCTCCAAAGCTTTATAGGGCTGCCTCTTTTCATTTTTGGTCTCACTCAACTGTCCCTTTTTCAGAGAGGATTGTAGGTAAATTAGCAACTGCCATGTCTGCCCTAATTGTTCTCTCTCCCTTTCTCTTGATTTATTTCTATAATTCTCTTATCAGTATCTGAAGAAGTAATTTTTAAAATTCTTTATATATGCTATGGACTGAATGTTTGTGTGCCCCCTAAATGTACATGCTAAAGCTCGAAACCCTGCTGTGGCTGTATTTGGAGATTGGGTATTTAAGGAAGTAACTGGGGTTAAATGAGGACATAAGGGTGGGACCTTAAATAGGATTAGTGTTCTCTTAAGAAACATCAGGCAGCTCACTCAGGCTCTCTCACATGCACACGCTGAGGAAAGGCCATGTAAGGACATAACAAGAGAGCAGCCCCTGGAGTTTGAGACCAGTCTGAGCAACATGACGAGAACCTCATCTCCACAAAAATACAAAAATTAGCGGGGCATGATGATGCATGTCTGTATTCCCTTCTACTTGGGAGGTGAAGCGGGAGGATCACTTAAGTCCAGGAGGTTGAGGCTGCAGTGAGCCAGGACTGTGCTACTGAACTTCAGCTGGGCAACAGTGAGATCTTTTCTCAAAAAACAAACAAACAAACAAGATAGCAGCCATCTACAATCCAACGGAAGAGAGCCCTTACCAGAATTGGCTGCACTGATCTTGAATTTTACTATTCAGAACTGTGAAAAGATAAACTTTTGTTGTTGAAGCCACCAAATCAATCAAGCCACTTTATTACGGCAGCCTGAGCAGACTAACACAATGTATTTATTGACTACGTCTCATTTTAGAATGTCAGCTTCAAGGGGGTTGAGAATATATCTGTCTTGTTGCCTAGAACAGAGTCTGGGAGATAGGAGACACTTAATAAGTCTATGTTGAATGAATGAATAAATGCAGAGCAGCTTATGGAATTCAGTAGTGATTACCATACAGGAAGATCATTGCCAGGGTGGCAGGACCATAGGAGAAGGACCCCTGAAAGAGGGAGTGAGAGCTGAGGAAGGAGAGCCCAGAGAAGATGGTCCAACGTCACATATTCAATGCTAAGTGGAAGCTTAACGAATATACCTACTTTCTAAGCATGCAGGGGCCTTAGAAACTGGAAAAAAACAGTCCTTTTCTATGAAACTCATGGTTTGCATCTGAAAATTCCTTCCAGGTCTTATCTGGACAGATCTTATTTGTGAGGCAGTGAACAGTATTTGGGGCTCATAATGACATGTGAGGCACCCAAGGCCACTCACCAAATAGTCTTCTTCATACACCATGCAGGGGCTTAATTTCTGGTAGGAATCCAGGGTCAGTTTCTTATACAGACAGAGCAAACCACACATTACATTTTAGCATGGCTGGTCTATTTTGTAAAATGCGCCAATCGGAGTATTAAAAATGAAAGCAATAAAGATTGGATTGACAGGCAAAGTTTACAGGAAATTCTATGGGGAAAACAGAGAACAGAAACATAAAGAAAGCAAGCCAAGTAAACTGATACTAGCAAAAGGAACCCTTGGGGGAAAATTTAATGCATTTTTGTTCTATCTGCTCTAATCCTATCCATCAAACAAGAATTAC